AGATCGAATGTTCCCAACAGATTGTTGTCCTTGGTCATTGCCCGTTCTCCTTCGAACACCTGAATGGTGACGGCCGGCTGATTGTCCGCGTACGTAGTGAACGTCTGCGTTTGTTTGCAAGGAATTGTTGAGTTGCGCTCGACGATCTTGGTCATGACACCGCCTGCGGTTTCGATACCCAGTGACAGGGGGGTCACGTCCACGAGTAACACGTCTTGGATAGCGGAGCTCGTGTCACCGCTCAGAATGGCCGCCTGTACGGCGGCACCGTAAGCGACCGCTTCGTCAGGGTTGATGGACAGGTTGAGCGGTTTGCCGCAGAAGTAGTTTTGCAGGAGACTCTGGATCTTCGGAATCCTCGTGGAACCACCCACGAGTACCACGTCGTGTATGGAACCTTTGTCCAACTTGGCGTCAGCCAACGCTTTTTCCACCGGCTGCAGGGTCGATCTGAACAGGTCCGCGCACAGTTCCTCGAAACGTGCCCGAGACACCCTGGTGTAGAAATCAATGCCTTCCATTAGGGCGTCGATCTCTATGGTGGCCTCCGAGCTGGACGACAACGTTCTTTTGGCCCGTTCCGCGGCAGTCCTTAACCGCCGCAGCGCCCTAGGGTTGGCGCGCACATCCTTTTTGAATTTCCTCTTGAATTCCTCGGCCAGATGCGAGACCAGCCGGTTGTCGAAGTCCTCGCCACCCAAATGCGTGTCCCCGGCCGTGGACTTTACTTCGAATATCGAACCCTCGTCGATCTGCAGCACGGACACGTCGAACGTGCCACCGCCAAGGTCGAATATCAACACGTTTCTCTCACCTTTAAGGTTCTTGTCCAAACCGTACGCCAACGCCGCTGCCGTCGGTTCGTTGATTATCCTCATCACGTTCAGACCGGCTATTGCACCCGCGTCCTTGGTCGCTTGTCTTTGCGAATCGTTGAAATACGCCGGCACCGTGATCACCGCGTCCGTCACGGTACGTCCCAAGTAAGCTTCCGCCGTCTCCTTCATTTTTGTCAACACCATCGAACTGATTTCTTCCGGCGCGAACACTTTTGACTCACCTTTGAACTCCACTTGCACTTTCGGCTTTCCGCAGTCGTTCACCACTTTGAACGGCCAGTGCTTCATGTCCGCTTGCGTCTTGTCATCATCGAAACGACGACCGATCAACCGTTTAGCGTCGAACACGGTGTTCTTTGGATTCATCGCCACCTGGTTTTTGGCCCCGTCGCCGATCAGCCGTTCGGTGTCCGTGAACGCCACATAACTCGGCGTGGTCCTGTTACCTTGATCATTGGCGATGATTTCCACTTTTCCGTGTTGCCAGATACCCACGCAAGAGTACGTGGTCCCGAGATCGATACCGATTGCTGTTTTACCGACCATTTTTTAACGTTCGAAATTCAAACACGGGTTGTTACACTGAAAATATTAATTAATCGAAATCCAAGCACTTTTCACCACTGAATTATTACTTAATGTATAAACGTGTATTCGCACTGTCACAACTCGAAGCGTATATCGCACTGTATAATATCTCGATTATTATGACTCGTACAACTGTTACGGCGTTCGTGATCAAACTGTTGCCGAGCGGCGCGCCGTCCGCGTTTATATAGTCTATGGAATGTTCTAGAATGTCCGTGGCGTATTAGTCTCCCACCACTCCGCTACTCGTGCCTCGTTTATTCTACAACGTTCTAGAACATTCGCCAGTTTTCAACTGCTTTCTCGATGTGAGCCTTTACGATTAGTAGTGAAAGTTTTAATTGCCATTTATTTTTTTTAAACATCTTTTATTGTTATTAGTGTTTTCCATGAAGTTTAAAATTGTGAAATAGTTACGATGAGTTAATATGCTCTTTATTTGTTTTGAAAATTATTGTGTTCATCTTTGTCGATTCGATAAGTAGAAATTGTTTTCGGACTTAGATTTTGCACTCCAATCCTTTATGAATTGTTTTTTTTCGTATCGGTTTTATATTGAATTCTTAATCAATTTTTTTTTTTTTTTTTGATTCGTGTTTATTTCTTATTTATTTAACTAATACAACTTTACTTCTGTGATGAGTAATGTATTTACAGTATATTGTTAAATACATTCGTGGGTCATCATACTGTAGGAATACATTGAGAAAAATTGGTCTTTTTACAGACATATAATTTATTTAACTAGAACAAATGATTTCAGTTGAGTTCTTATTAGTTATTAGTTATGTTAAGAAATATAAATACTTTGGTTATTGTTATCTAAAATGTATTGAAATAATATATTATTCTTAAAATAGATTTGTAAATTTAAAATATCATCACAATTATTTTTCTTTATTTCATTGTGTATGTGTAATTCTTTTCAAACTCAATTAATGTAAATGTTATTTTGGATATTTAATATTTTTAAGGCTTTATTGATATCAAAATGTACACCATGGAAATGTTCTAAAACATGTTTAACAAAATTTGAATTAGAGGCAGTTTTTTTAAATTTTATATCCAAAATTTGTTCTTCGTAATTTTATTTCAAAATTTCTATTTGTCCTACATTTATAGAATTTATTACAATTACATTCAAGTCAATAAATACCATCATCTTCATAGAATGAAGATTTTTGTGATATTTTTAGTTCTATTATTTTTTATGTTTGATTAAATTATTATAAGTTTGAATAGCGCTGTTCACATTAATTTTATTAGGTATTTAGAATTTTGGTGAATTTGTTAAGTGTATTATTTTGATATTTCATACTATAATATTAAACAATATTATTTGGTGAGTTTTTTTATTTTTTTCTTAAAATCGTTTAGGGATAATATTAATAATATTGAAATAGAAATTATTCTTATGGACTACATTGTCAACAATATGCAGATCGTGTTGATATTTATGTTTATTTAATGAAATACATTAAATTCTATAGAATATTGAATTAAAACATGATATATTTTGAGAAAAA